TGAAAGTATTTAGCATCGAAAGCCACCATTCCACCCCAGCAGCTGCGCACCCGAACAGCATCTTTGCCTTCCAGCACGTCTTTACGACTTAAGCCCGACCCCGCTGAGGTAAACCAGGGGAAGAACTGGAGGCCAATCCCATAGCCTTCCAGGTCTCTTGTGGCATATGTATCATAGAACTTGAACGCATTGATAAAATCGACTGCGCATGCGGCCCGGTATTGGGCTACCCCGTTCTCATCGATATTAGTAGAGAATAGAAGATGAAGCACGTCAATTGGATCGAATATCACGTCGTTCAGATATAGTATCTTGTCATATATGATCTCTGGATGCTCATCTAGTGGCCGTAGGGCACGATTCCGCATCTCTGCAAGGTAGTCTGTTCGCTTCACCCGTTCCCCTCCCCCGGGGATCGTTACTGTCGGGAATGCGGTCAAGTCCAGGTCCAGTTCAATTTGTATAGAACTGTTGCACGGCAGTCGGTCCTCCAGACCTCGAAGGGCACTCCGACCTCTAATGCCACTGTCATTCTCGTAGAGGCTGAGGAAGACGTTTTCTTCACCTAGCAGATTGATTAGGTGTAATAAATCATGTCCCCATCTCCCATTGGCTAGCTTACCATCCGGGTCGTAGAGGATGGCTGCAATGAAAACTGTCTCATTATGCGGGTTCCCTCGCCCTGTAATGCCGCTTCGAGAGGCCTGTTGGTGGAGGAGCTGGTAGTGCGGTGGTAGATACGTATACGAGGGCCACAGTATGCCCGTCAAAGCGACCAACAAGATCAAGAAGCCTGTCATCAGCCGGACAAGGCCACCAAGCCGACGGGGAAGGATGCGACGATTCCCACAGTAAAGAGAACGCCTGGGGTAGAAAACAATGGCCCCTAATGATAGTTGCCTAAAGAATGGAAGGCGTCTGCCGGTTGCTCTTCTGGGTGTGATCAAGTCTTCCTCCTCGAGGTCCGAAACGGAGAGCAGAGCAATCGAGTCAACTGAGAAGCGGGGACTCATCCTGGAGTACTCCGGGGGCTTTAGAGGAATTCGAACCATGATCGCTGATGAATTAGGATGTTCCTTCTATACCGACGCTCCCAAGATACATATCAAGTGCGATTGTTTTCGTATCATTGGAGCAGTTTCAGAGGTGCAGTGAACATGGGGCGACTGTTTAATATATATATTTTTGTGACACTACCAGCCCATGTAGGAGCTTGATACATGGTAAGTATTACTTATGTTACATTACACACAATGTTTGTCAGCGTATCGGTGGAAGTTTGTTCTAGTAATGTAAGAAACACGTAACGGCGGGTATTGTTCATTATGACCAGAATTTGGGTATGTGCTAGGGACACCTGACAGTCGGTGAGATTCATGATGAGAAAGCAATGATACGAAGTTGTAGACTGATTATTTAAATTGGCAGTTCTGACACAACGCACCCTACCAAGTCACGGAAGCTCATGAACTAGCTGGAAGATTAGTTGGATTATGATAACGATTGTTCACTTCCTATTAGTCGTTCAAAAACGGCCACTTTCAACCACAACCCTTTAAACACCAGAATCGTGCTGCACGACATCTTGAGCCGCGACGTAGCTCTTCCAGCTGGCGCAGGTGTCATTTAGTGTCTCGTAGTCGTAGATAATCTCCGGGGCTCGCTCCAGTAGCTGCACCGCAAAGCCCTCAGAAGTGTGCCAAGCGATATGGCAGTGCATGAGCCAAGCCTGCACATCTCAATTAGCCAACAGATTGGCCCAAGGGGAAAAAGGTCAGCACTTACACCTGGATTGTTGGTCTTGATTGCAATGACCAAGTAGCCACTGGCGGGCATCATCGCCACGTCACGCCGGGGGGCATTGACCAAAGTCAGGGCGTCGGTCTTTGTTGCGTCGAAATCACCATAGCCCGAAGCCAGAATCCAGAAGTCATGGCCGTGCAGGTGCATGGGATGGTCCTGGGCGAAGGGAGAGTGGACGACCAGGTACACCCACTGGTCCTGGTAGGGGAGATGGATGATGCGCTCCTTGGCTGCCCAGGTGTAGTTGTGGTTGGCCACATGCATCAGCGTAGGATAATCCCATTCGGTGTGGAAGGAGGTCTTGTTCATGGTCCACAGCAAGGCGTTCGAGGCGACCTCGATTGCGACCTCTTCACTTGTACTGTAGGCAAAATTGTCCGAGGCATTGATGGCTACGTAAGGGATGAGGTCAGAGGAGGACTCATCGGCACAGGAGTCAGTATAAGTCCAGGCCGAGGTCGTGGGGTCTGCCGTGGAAGAGTTGTCATAACGGATGATGCCCTTGATATTGTTCAAGGCATCCGTCTCGGAGCAGGCCTCCTGGGGGATTGCGCGCAGCCAAAAGTTCCCGCTGTTCAGTTGTTTAGCCGTAACAATGACATCGTAGCGCTGGCCCATGCCGATACTCAATTGTGTGGTGTTGTAGGGGTGAATGGGGACAAAATCCGCCGCAATCACTTCCATGGTGTGGTTATCAATCATGAAGCGGAAATGGTTGTCAGCTGCCGCGTTGACGAGACGAATGCGGTATCTGGTACCTGCATTAAAGGTTGTCTCGAAACGCGAACCGTTGTTGCCATAAGTGTTTGTCCCATTGATTAGGCCGTTGGGAGGAGTGGGCGGTCCACTTGTAGCGGATTCTAGGACCAGTTCATCCGCAGTTTTCTGACAAAATTAGGCCTGCCCTGCGTCTGCCTTATGCTGAAATTGGAAGGAGTAGGAGGTAAAGCGTACATGATACCAATCATTCAAGAAGATGTGGCCAAGGTCCACATCGTAGTTGGCCGTGGCAGGGCCATTGATCAGGATTCCACCAAACACACCATCCCACGCCTGAACGTAGAAGTGGGAGTGATACCAGCCCGTTCCATATTCCACAGCACGCCATTTGTAGGTATATGACTGCCCCGGAGCGATGGGGCACTGCGTGATACTCGGGACACCGTCCATCTGGTCTGTCCAGTTCTGTCGAATTCCGTGGAAGTGCAGACCCGATCCATTAGACTGCAGAGAGTTGGTGACATGGACGACTAGATAACCCAGGAGTCAGTCACTAAATACAAAGTAACAGGACGAGCAAATACTACTTACTAACTGTATCTCCCCAGTCTGCGATGATCGTGGGGCCGGGGAAGGAGCCATTGATCAATTGAGCAGGAAGTTCAACGCCATCTGGTGCGGCGGTGGTATTTTCAACATTGAACCAGTACTCGCGCGTGACCCCAGTATCAGGGACCTCCTCATAGTAGTTGGTCGAGATGTTATACCCGTCTCGCCAGCAGGCTCGGTTGCTCGGACTGTTGACGCATTCTTTGGCATTGGAGGTGGACGGGATGGAAGCGCCGAGGGCCTGTGGTATAGCAAGGGCCGACAGAAGAAAAGAGGCAGAAAACCACATTATACTAACATTAACGCGAATGTAACGCGTGAAAGAGATAGAAGCGAGCGACTCAATGAACCAGTAAAGAAGGAATGGGTAGAATAAAAGGGCACAACGAACGTAGAGGAAGAGATTAGAGCATCAAAGAATGACAAGTGCACAATAATGAGGACTGAATGATACTCTGCAGCAGTGGCATATCTGCTTCCAAATGGTCAAGTTTTATATGCTTCTTTGAGATGGCTGAGCATTGTCGGACAACGTCCAGGTACCTCTGCTCGGCCATGGTCCGTCTCTGTGGTAGAGTACCGGCAATGGTCTTTGGTACCAGGGCCGCCCATCCGCGCCCCCACCGACGATCCATGCAAGCTAAAGACACCATGGGGATAGTGAGAGTCTATCTTTGGTCATCAAGCTCCTACGCTTGAGTATTGGCGCGATCGGGGGTGCCATTAAGAAGGGCCCACCAGCGACACGCATGCCAGAAGCCCTGCTTGCGTTGCTCGTTGACCAACATTCAGGAAATTTCTAATCTTCCTGTCAGCATCAAAAAATCGAGTGATGATTGGATAGAGGTATGGAAAATGTGGGATCGGACGGAGCGTAACGGAAATATAAATAAGCGACCATATTGACGATGTTGGATTTATGCCTGCCAAACCGAGCGAGAAGGTAGGATAGAAATGTTAGATACTAGTATCTCAAGGGCCAGCGGGTGCGCTCGAGGCAATTAATCCTGCAGTACGTAAGAAGCCCCGGGAAGTTTAGCAACGGGAAGCACCCGAGGATCTCTCAGCTCCCACAAATATGGGGGCTATCATGGTGGCACAGGGTTGAGCAAGACGTTCAAATTTCAGATACACTGAGAGCCCTGAGAGCCCTGTACCGTGACGATCGAGAGTCGACCAAGCTCTGCTGGGTAGGTGCCGGGACAATCTCCAGCTAGTGTGCAGAGACTAGTGCCCTATGGGGCAAGGATGAACAGACCAGATGGGTCAAGATCGCAGACTACAGTGAACTATCCACAAAATCGCTGGTATCAGCCACAGGCTCGCGTGGTTCCGCAACGTCATCACACAACCGTCTCCACTGGCGTTGTGTTTGGTTCCACCCAAAAGATCTATTTTTTCTCCTCTTGGCACAAAGCTTTCCGTCCCCATCGCACTGGCAGTTCTACCGTCTTCCACCGGCTCTGCCGTGTCTGCCAACACAATGCCATACCTTTTCAGCCCTATTCTGGGGCCAGGCATGCGCGTCACCCACGCATCGAACAAGGTTTCGCTGGTGTTAGCATGGCCTGAGGACCACGTATACAGTCGAAGATTTTTGCCGGTTTCCCGCGGACTCACGCTCGGGAATTCCGTTTGAGTACCAGAACCCAGAGCATGCTAGGAATTATCAAGCTTGGCATTCAAGGGCTAGGGGTCCACCAAAGAAAAGAGCCTATAATTGGGAAGGTTTCCCTTATGGGATTGTATGATAACGACGTTTTTGTTTGTTGGCCGAAGAACGCAAAGCACATTCGATACATTCATATTCCTTTCTTCATAGCTTTACTTACCTCCCTTCCCAACACCGAGTCTACCACCAGCCCACGATGCAGTGGATGAGCTTTCTTTGCCCTCTGATCGCCTTGCAGGCTGGCCTCGGCACTGCTTGGGGCACCCATGTCAAGCGGGGATCGGAGACCAATGCCACTTTGTTGGCCTACGGACAGAACTCTTCCGCTTATCCCATCGCTTACGGGCTCAGTGATGGTATGGCTTCCGGAGTCATGTACCATCTAGCCGCTGCTGACCGACGATCTAGGCCTCCTGTACATCGCCCAAAATCCGGAGAACACAGCAGCAGACCTGACGCCCATGTATTGGGACCTGCCCTCCATAACGGACGACTGCTGGATCGTGAACGGCACGTTCATGAACGGGACTCGCGCGGGTTCCCTGTACATCCGACCGGAAAGCGACAACTGTCTCGGCGTGCTACCTTTTGCCCAGGCTAAAGGGGTGAATGGTGTTGTCACGGGCTTTGGCCTCTTTGCATCGCAGCTGGTCTACAACAATAATACCCAGCTGGAAGCACAATTCTGGGCGGCAAAGACGGACACTGAAGATGTCTACAAGCTGGTGTGGGTGGAAGACTCTGCCCAACTTGCGAGCGAAAGCTTTCCCGTGGTGGTGAAGGCGTCCGAGGACTCGACTTGAGGTAGATAAGCAACCTATGGTGGTGTGGCTTGGATTGTAGGGAGTGGTGCTCCGGGCATCATGTTGTTCATGGTCATTGCGTGATGGCACATCTGTCATTCGTTGAAATTCTATTACTATTCTTAACTATCATTAATCCTACATTTAACAGAAACTCGTTTATAATTAACATTCGAGCGAATTGAATGCTGAGAGTTGCAGCGCTTGACAAACAGAGCGGGAAACGGAAACGTACTTCAGCCACAAAGATCTAGTTCCAGGTAGGAAAAAAACCTCACCCATAGACGTTGTCGGAACTAGGCTTTCACCATGATAATTTTGTCACTCAATCAGTAGTGACATACATGTAGATCAGACTCTGGTTGAGGCTCAGAGACCCTTGGGCCGGTTTCGGTAGTGTTTCAGGTAGATATGGCAGACGGGAGGAGAGGAAGTCTTGTCTTTCCACCCTTTCTTATCATTGCTCCACAGTGTTAGTCACTAATCCTTGCTGACGCTATCTAACCATAGCTGGCGTAGTCGTATACACCCCAATCTGTCGTGACTACGACATTTATCCCCACTGTCCGTGCCGTGCATACTCTTCCACACCCCCTGGTCTAGCGATAGGAGACGGATTGCTCCAAGCTAGATCGGACGACAATGGAGTGATCTGGAATGGGGCATCCCGATGTTGAGCGTAGAGATGGCGTATGCTGTGCCGTCGTGTCATCCGTCCCAAGGTTGGCGAGCCCAACCTCGTCTTCAGCTACCTCGCAGGTAGAGGTTAGCGTCCTTACGCGTCCAGGCTGGCTAAGTCGTATGCCAGCCTGCCAGTGGGACCGGCCTCCATGACAAAGTGAAGGCTTCCGTGGAGACCCGGAGAAGGGGAATTGATTGCCTTTGCTTCCTTGACTGGACAGTATCCGAATGCGGGTGAGACGCGCCAGTGGTCCGAGATGAGGGAGACAGGCGCAAACAATAGCTACGGATGGTTCAATGCTGGACCAGATGAACAGCGGTCCCATCATCCAAGTAATATCATGAGCTTGGGTGAATCGATATAGAACATATATGCGCACGGCACTGGCTACGCAAACGCTGCAAGGTACGTTAGGGGTGCTCTAAACTGGGAGTATGGCACACTCACAAGCTACCCAACGCAAGAATTAGACAAACAGCAATCTTCTTCCGGCGGTTCATTTGGAGCTTTGCAATTTGTGGAAAGGGGATGATAAGGATTATAATGTCGTTGATCATGTTGATGATTCCGGTTGCGAGAAAGAATGTGTCAGTGTCAATGCACGTTCCCGACGCACCCTGGAACTGATTCCAGAAATAGGACAGCGGTTTGCAGCAGTTCCCCATGGCCACCCAGACAATAACAAGGTAAGAGAGCGCGAGCACAAATCCAAATAAAACGGAGATTCGGAGGGAGAGGGGCTGATGAACAGCTACGAAAATTCGGCGGTAGAAGAAGAGGATCGAGAGTTTATATGCTGAACATCCGGCAGCATACATAAAGGTGTATGTGAACAGAATCTGCCTGGTGAGCAACCACATATTATACCGAAGGTATCGCACAATCTTACTTTGAAAATAGTCGACACATCGGCCAGAGATGCTGCCCATACATGCTTCCCAGCGCCAAATGCGCCGCCTGGATTTTTGACGCGTGCTTAGAAGCCGACGTATCTGGGGGAATAGGAAGTATCTCGCGCTGTACCTGCTAGACTTAGCCCTGCTGTGGCTGCAACAAAAACCTGGTAAGTAGCGATGTCGATGTTAGCACTTGAAGACCAATTGCGGATTGACTCATCTTGTTCACGCACCAAGGACACCAGAATCAACCAGTCGTCCAGTCGAAAAGGATTCCGCACGGCCAGTCTCGCGATGAACCGGAGACCCACTGCAATTATGCCGAGGACCAGCAAAATAATGACGGCTGCATTATCTCGATGTACTTGGCTATTAGCTAGATCGATGTCGGCAGGAGGTTGACCGAAGACGGCCACTATACTTGGTTCCAAGTCCCTGATGTGCATGTCTGGGCTAATAAGACGAGCTGGGGCAATACGATGCCCTTTCTCAGCTTCTATATTGTGGCTAAGTCTATGCTGGGTGCAGCAAGGAAACATTAAAGGGGTTATCATTTTGCAATGGCCTAGAGCAGACGGCCATCGGTCGGGTCGGTCGGGAGACGCTATTTGCTCCTTTTTCCTAGCACCTACGAAGCTAGTAGAGGCTTCCTTTCAACTTAAGACTATAGTCAATGGATGGCACATTGGGATGAACGACGGTGTCGCTTTTAGCATGTTAGCTGTGCGTTAGTGCTGACAGCTGACAGGGATCGTTGAGACGATCACAATTCTTCCGCTGCTCCCCGTCGGATAAAACGGCGGTTAAGCAAAGAATCCAGGTTTTCGCCAGTGATAGATAACCCAAGCCAGTATCACGGCCAATCATATTCTCGACTGGATATCGCTTTCTCCTGTCAGTTGACGCATTGGGAAGCCTGGCCTGATGCCATCGCAACAGGATGCATGTTAGTGCCGTCGCTGCTTCTCCGGTCCATGAACCGTCTGCGGGGTTCTGCTCAAGAGAAAGGTATTAATTCGAGGAAGATGTGCCTGTACTCGGCTTTCATGTCGGAATTCTGACCCTCTTTTCCATACGACATACTTTTGGAGGCATCATTTCATGCGTTGCAATGGGTTCGATAGCTGAAGCGAGCGACATCCCGAGCCTCACGGCGTTAGAACGTATCGGACCCAAGGGCTATGTGCGGTACATCTTTCCCTTTCCACTTGGGGATGACTATGATCTCGAGCAGGTGGTCGAGATTCTCCGGGTGAGCTATGCGGCCACCACTCGCCGGCTACCGGTTATGGCGTGCGAGGCGGTGCCAGACCATCGCACAACACAACGAGGTGTCCTTCGCCTCCAACGCCTCCTCGAGGGATACATCGAGCCGATAGTGACCCGAGATCTGCGTGCGCCTGGCAAATTTCCGACCACATACGCAAAGCTTCAGGCCAGGGCGTTCCCGGTGGCTTTCTTTGATGCCGACGTGCTATGCCGCCGCTCTGTATGGCCCACTCCGGGAGAGCGATTGCCAGTATCTCTCTTACAGGCCAACTTCATCCCCGGTGGCCTGCTATTGAACTGGTGCGTGTTGCATGTGGTTGGTGACGGCACGACATACCAGGTGTGGATGAAGGTTTGGGCGGAAGAGTGTCGTCGTGCTCAGGGCATGGCCATTCTTGAACCCATCGAGCTCCCAGAAGCGACTTTAAGAGATCGCGAATGCGCAATGCGTGCATCTGGCCGTAATCCCGGCTCACTGAGCAGTCATCCGCAGTACACGTTGCTTCCATCTGCGCCGGCCGGAGCACCCCCCAAGATGCTGGCCAAGAATCATCGCACTCAAGTCTTCTATTTCTCCCCTGCAGCACTGACGGCACTGAAGGAGGCAGCGTCTCCCGCCCATGCGACCATGACCTCAGACCAAACTTGGATTTCCACCAATGATGCCCTATCGGCACTGCTCTGGAGGACGGTAATGGCTGTGCAGTGGCCCCTGGATACTCTCCAGGGTGATCCCGTATCTGTTTTCAATCTCGCGATCGACGGGCGCCTACGGACCGATCCGCCTGTGCACCCGGAGACTCTGGGATGCTTTCTGGAGTATCTGGGGGTCTCCCTCCCGATTCGCACCATTTTGGGCTCCGCTAGCCTTGCAGATCTAGCCATCTTGATCCGTAAAGAAGTACTCCGCGCCGACCGGCAGTTCACGGATGACTTGGTCGCACTCGTAGAGCAGTTGGAGGATGTTGACTGCCTGGTGCCCACGGCATTCCTGGATGTCCCTGGGTTCAACTGCGTACAGACCTCCTGGATCAACTTCCAGTTATATGGACTGGAATGGGGTCCCCTGATGGGCCACCATATCGGCGCGGTGCGAGCCCCTCACATTGGTGTCATCAACGGTCTGCAACTCGTGTTGCCGGCGCCACCAGAGGGGGGGATGGAGGTGTTGGTAGGAGTGGAAGAGAGCTGCTTGGAACGCCTGCTGCAGGACCCACTGTGGATGAAGTATGCTGTGGCACGATAGGTAAGAGGTGGATTATGCGGGTTAGATGTCACAAGCAGCCATCCGTCGTCGCCTCGAGGCATTGTGTATATAATAACTCTACTATTGAACGCGTGTTACTCAGCATAGCAGTAGTATCCCGAAATATGGATCACTGTTGCATACCATCTTACAGCAAATACCGGCTCTTTCATTTGCCTAAGCCACGGCATTATTATCACTGGAATGCTGACCGCAAAGCCGTCGCCGATCATTCACCAACATTCCAGCAAGTGACGTTAAATTCCACTAGCACAAACATCCATATTCCGTTTACGGGAGCTTCACAGGCGCCACAGCAATGAGTGACAGTTACTTTATACACTAGGGCCCCTCCGCCCTTGTAGAGACAGCAGTCGCCAGATATTTGAGCTGTCTCTTCGAATCCCCACTGACTTTGCAGGCTTCATGGAGAATTCATACAACATCCAACATGCGCATCGTGCTCAAAGCTAGCTTGGGGGCAGTACTAATTGCCTCCGCCCACGCGCTGGGACAAAGGCCTCTGGGGTCCTCATTTGGTGTTCCTGGTACCAATGCAACGTTCGACTACATCGTGGTAGGAGGTGGAACCGCGGGTTTGACACTGGCCACGCGACTAGCCGAGCAGCAGAACGGCTCGGTGGCTGTCATAGAAGCAGGAGGTTTCTACGAGATTGACAATGGTAATCTAAGCCAGGTCCCTGCCAGTGCCGGAGAATACAGTGGTCCATCTCCATCTGACTGGCAACCTTTGATTGACTGGGGATATGTCACTACCCCGCAAGAGGTACGTAGTTCAAGGCAATCGGCAGAATAAGATATACCAAGCGCTAACGGATTTGTTGGCAACAGGGACTTTACGATGCACAGGTACACTACCCACAGGGTAAGTGCCTGGGAGGCGGTTCCGCCCGCAATAGAATGGTATTCCACAGGGGCACAAAAGGGGCGTATCAGAAATGGGCGGATGCGGTGAACGATGACAGCTTCACTTTCGACAACCTGCTGCCCTTCTTTGAAAAAAGCTTACACTTCACCCCGCCGGATCAATCCCTGCGTTTAGCCAACACCACCCCTTGGTATGATGCTAGCGTGCTGGGCACTGGCGCGGGTCCACTGTCTGTGACCTACTCCCACTACGCCCAGGCCTTTACTTCGTGGGCTCTTCAGGGAGTGAAGAGTGTGGGATTGTCAATGATTCCCGGATTCCAGAGTGGCTCGCTACTGGGCTCGGGGTATACTCTGCTAACCATTAACGCTTCCACGATGCTGCGGGAGTCATCCGAGACAGCGTTCTTGAGGAGTGCCCTGAGTCGCCCCAACTACCAGGTCTATCAGTCTACCCGGGCTACGCGGATCCTCTTCGATGGTGGTCAACGGGCAACAGCCGTGATGGTGGAGACCGGGGGATTTACCTACCAGTTGAACGCGACCAAAGAGATCATTCTCTCCGCAGGGGCCTTTGGCTCACCACAATTACTGATGGTATCTGGTGTTGGGCCTGCTGAGGTTCTCAGCCCACTGGGTATTCCTGTAGTGGCTGACCGGGCAGGCGTCGGCCAAAATCTCCAGGACCAAGTCTTGTCGTTTGTGGCGCGCCCTGTTAATGTGGTTACAGAGTCTGCGATGAATTCCCCGGACACACAGGCCGAGGCAGCACAGCAATTTGACGAGATGGCAGCTGGACCCTATACCAGCCCCGGAATTGAGGCCCTGGCGTGGGAAAAAATCCCCCATGATCTGCGGGTGCAGTTGTCCAACGATACCCGAGAGTTCCTTGACCAGTATCCGTCGGACTGGCCCGAGATTGAGTATGTTCTGATGGCAGGGTATAGAGGGGGGAGGGAAGATGGAATACAGGAGCCTGATGATGATTTGAACTACGCCTCCATTGTGTTTGGCCTTGCAATATCGCAGTCCCGTGGCAACGTGACAATCACCTCCAGGGATGTTGCCGTCCCGCCTCTAATCAACCCAAACTGGCTCACTGCATCGGCAGACATTGAGATTATGGTAGCAGGCCTCAAGCGGGCGCGGCAGTTCTGGCAAACAAGTGGCCTCAATCCGGTGGTAATTGGCCCGGAAGCGTTTCCGGGAGATTCAGTTGAGACCGACTCGGAGATTGAAGTCACTGTCAGGCGCAATGCCAATTCCATCTCGCATGCCTCGTGCACGTGTGCTATGGGAACTGCTGACGATCCAATGGCCGTGGTGGATACCCAGGGCCGCGTGTTTGGAGTGCAGGGGCTGCGGGTAGTCGACGCTTCAATTTTCCCTCTTCTGCCTCCGGGTCACCCGCAGGCTACAATTTGTAAGCTACAATCCGCAACCTCCTTTACTAATTATATCTGGCTTACCATGGACAGATGCCTTGGCCGAGAAATTAGCCTGCGATATCACCAGACAGTGTGCCGAGTAGATTGCGTAAAGCCTTTCATAATCCAATACCAACGGAGTTGTTTGAAGTATAAGAGCTAGCTGTTCATTCATCAGACGGTACAACGCTCCAGTAGCATATTGAGGATGCGTTGTCACGATGTTCGGTGGGTGTTAGGCGGGCCGCAATAGTATGCGCAAGTGCCTGTCTTAAGATCGGAGACAGTATCCTGCTATGCATAGGCCAACCGTGCAGGATCCGCTCGTAGTGGAAGCTTACAAGTCGCAGTTCTTCACTTCCGGCCACATTGCCGCAGCCTAAAGATTGAGCCCAGTCAGTAAAAATGTTCCATTCTTGTGAGCATGGTTGAATGTGGCCCACTATTAGTCAATATAATACTTATCGCTTTTGTTAAGTTACGAAGAGCTAAATATATATACATGATCTATGGCAAGGAGCTCGACAGAAGTGAGTGCTGCTCTTTACACATCCCGTTCACACCTTACATAACCGGCCATTCTGATCCGGCAGCCCATCCAAGCTGTGCACCTTCCAGTCCTCACTACCTACTCCAGTCGGTGCGTGAAACAGTCCTGTAGGATCATACTTTTGCTTCAGGGCATACAGGCGATCATAGTAGGAGCCATAGAATGCCTGCTGGAAGTGTGGCTCCATGACATCCGCCTCGGACATGTAGGCGCCCGCCTCCGGGCAAGTGCGCCGCCACTCTCCCAGGATATCGTAGGTGAAGTGTTCCATCTCCTCAAGGATCTCGGCATTGGTGGCATTGCTTGACCAACTGGTCGACGTGATGGCGTGCATCAGGGTCTTGCGGAAGGCTGGGTTGGCCGAGCTTGGGGAAACTCCATCGAGCAAGTCGGCTTTCAGGTTAAAGGCCAGCAAGGAGTAACCGGCCGACACGGTGGAGCGGAGAGCAGCCACAGTCTGGTTGAATCGGGCCGGATCCTCGAAGTTGGCGCGTGGAAAAAGTCGGGATCCGGTCATCATGGTCACCGAACCGACGGTCTCTAGCGGGAAGCCCGCGTTCCAGGCGTCATAGAAGGTGTCGTAGTAGGTCGTGTTTGGCTGGAAGGAGATGCCCAAGTGATGCAACTCTTCAAACCATGGCTGCATCAGAGAGTTGAACTCGGCTACGGTGTGATTAACCGCAAAGTAGGGGTTCATAAGGAACTCAAACGCGTCAGTTCCCGTCGAGATGACCCAGAAGTAGGCGTATGTTCCAGCATCGGCGTTAACCGGAAAGCGTTTCATGTACGCGCTCACACCCGCCCAGAAGGCATCAGCCGAGACATTGGTGCTAGTAGTGAACGAGAAGGTTGAGACAGTGACAGGCACTTTGGGATAGACACGAGAGATGATGGAGGTGACAATGCCGTATGTACCTAGTCCTCCGCGTCAATGATACGGTCAACAGAGTCCGCAAGGGGCTTTTTAACTTACCTCCACCTCCACCACGAAGGGCCCAGAAGAGATCAGGATCTGATTGCTCGGTAACGGTGACAAATCGGCCATTAGCAAGGACTACCTCCAGTGCCAGCACTTGATCTGCAGCCAATCCGTACACACTCGACATAGGCGAATGGCCTCCTCCAAGCACGTAGCCGCCGGCCACGCCCACAGTCTTGCCTTCGCCGCCTACTGCAGTAAACCCAAGCTCGTTGGCTTTCTCATAAATTTCGAACGCCTGAACGCCAGCACCCATCTTCACTGCCGGACCGCTATAGTTGCCAAGCCGATAGTCCTCGTAATAGGCGATATCTTTGAGGTGATGGGTCCAGATGCCGAGGGCTCCGGCGCCAGTGGACTTGCCATTGAAGTCATGACCGGTATTTTTGGCGACTAAGCGTAGGCCAGTATTACGGGCAAAGTTCACGGACAGCTGGATTTGCGCTACCGTGCTTACGTTAACGGCGTAGCTGCTGTAGCCCCCCAACGTGCAAGATTCGGATGTCAGGTCGGGTGGCAAGCAACTGCGGCCCTCGAACAGCGGCCACATCACCGACGCGGGGTCTGCTGCACTATACAGCTTTGTCAATACAAAGTGCTCTGCTGAAAACAAACCAGGAGTGTGTGTCACAGGGTGAACTCACTGGAGGTAGGAGATGGTCCAGTCGTCCGACACATAGTCGCACTCAGTTTTATTGTACTCGGGCCAAGATGGATAACAAGATGCGGCTAATGGGACTGTCTTGATGAGCGTGCCGCCCAGCAGCTGGTCAAATAGTGACCATGTCGAGTCGGATGGCCAGGCTGCATCACTGGGGAAGACTTTGCACTCGCCTGATGAGAGGGCCTGTGTGGAGGTATTCCGGCCGAACTCGAAGACGGCGGTAGAATTTCCCAGCGCAGACTGCAGCTGAGCTAGCACGCCATCTGTAAGTTGATGAGTTTCACTGTCGAAGAAGGATGCATTGGCCACATAGTTGGCTGTTGGGACTGTTGTGGCCGCGACAGGGACCGTCCTCGAGGCCGCACTGGCCTGAGAGGCAGCACCGAGTGCGAGTGCCACCAGAAACGAAGTTGAAGGAGCCATTGATCAAGACACCCAAGAACAGCAGCTTAAAACACCGCCTAGCGAGCAGTATTTATGCCAGTGCGACCGATAGCCCCGTCACGATGGTTTATCTCGCTAGATCGTAACCGACCTGGGCTAAGTATCATTAGTGCATCCGGCGACCAGTGGCGTGGTGACCCCCAACCCGCATTAGATTAAGCTATCCTCCACCGGCCGCGCGATGTTGTGGAGCAGTTGGAGCAGCCGGTCAGCTTGGTTTTAAGAAAGGCGAAGCTGGATGCTCTGAGTTGGCAGATTTAGTACGTATACTAAGTCTAAGACACAATCCCACAATCTCAAGAAACCCGTGCCTCCGCTTCCTGCTATGAGAGGATTTGGCCGGGCCCCGACTGGGTCTCCTAGGAAGAGCCGGCGCAGCCCGGAAATAACACTGCCTTAGATGGGACGCACAACAGCTGGACTTGATCCACTAATCATCCAGTCTGAGTCTATGGGGGAGATAAAAACAATTGCCTTCTGGAAAACATGTTTGGAAATTTGCATCTTTCTTCCTTGATATCCATCCATCGCTCACTCCTGGGTGATGGACGGGAGTCCGCGATCCGCAAAACGAGGTGATCGCAAATTTATCCGTGCCTGAATACCCCGTATTTAACTAGTTAAGGATTAATATACCGGTTAGTCAGACGACTATCGTTCCTGCATGAGGTCTAAGTACCGACTTTTCATGCAACAGGGAAGAAGGGGGTTTGTTGCGGCCGGGGGCGGTAAATCTCCGGGGGAGGAAAGTTGCCCTGGTAAAGTCGAAGAAATGAATACGGATGGATGGGCTCGGCTACAAGATGCACAAATTCTTTGTTTCTATTCACCTAAGAATGAAATGTACCCGGAAGTCCGGCTATTTCTGTTGATACCCCTGTCATCTTTGCCGTGTCTCATCTCCGACCTGCCAACCTACCACATTGAGGGCAGTAACGGCCGTCATTTTCGCCGGAAAACCGACGGACACCCCCGCCGCAAGTGCACGCCTCTCTGGACTCTAATATGCAATGGTCTGGCGTGCGATGCTTTTCTGGGTATAGGGTCGGACATCCCACAGGTGGATCTTGTCGGACAAAAATTTCCGCTTATTATTAACTCCAGTCTAACCGTCAACAGATGGCTACCGAGCACTAGAATATCGGGCTAGATACTATTCGAGCTTTGACTGGTGGACATCCACCACCATCTCTCACAATGCAAATGTAGTTTTATGCCTAATTTAGTCTACATTATCCAAACCTTGCAGTAGCGTCGTTTCATACAGAGGCTTCTACAAAGCATCTATTCGCTCGCTCCATGGACTTATTCCCGGTTCGCATAGATGCCTTGGGTTCGGCAGATAACCTTAAGCAGGGCAATATCTAGCTAATAATATTCCCCTCGATGTCGACGGATCGCCTTTATCGTCTGTCTCTATGCCCAAGATGGTGGACGATGGTCACCAGAAGACTGCCTTGGGCGTGGTTGTGGCCTTCCCTGTACTCGGGGGAATCGCAGTGCTGCTACGAATCTGGAGTCGCTACTTGACACGGTCGCGCTTGGGAGCAGGTGGGAAACACCCTTATTCAGTGGCCCATTTTGACTAACCACGAGAAGATGATATCCTTATTGTGGTTGGATATGTATAGTTCCCTTTCTCGAATCCATGTTACATGGTGCTGACTTTGACAGATTCTTGCCATCGGGCAATCAATCACCTCCTGGTATTGTAGGTAACCTTTAAACCACGATGCGTTCTATGCTTCTTGTTAACCAAGACAGATATCAAGACGAACTATGTGGGAATTCATATCTGGGACATCCCAAAGAACTATGACCTCAAGCTAGGACTCATTGTAGGGGTCCACTGTCCCCGCCTTGTACCGCTGACCTTGACTGACTGGACCAGTGGAACTTTGCGAACCAACTAGTCTACAATCCTAGCCTCACAATGGTGAAGCTGTCCATCCTCGTGTTTCTGCGTCGCCTCGAATCCCAATCGCGGCTGGTGAACCTTCTTATATGGTCCACCATGTTCATTACGGTCGCATTATTCATCGCGGTCCTTTTTGTGGATATCTTCCAGTGCAGTCCGGTCGCCTACGTCTATGACTTTTCCATCTCAAACGGATCCTGCATCAATCAGGGGGCGTTTTACGTGGCGACGGCGGCAACTTACCTCTTCACCGACGTGCTTGTTCTGTCGATTCCTATCATAATTACCTGGGGTTTACAAATGCCACTAAGAAGGAAGGTTGCTGTCTGCGTGGTGCTCTGCATGGGCGCAGTGTAAGTGCCGATGATCTCCCAGGGGAATGGAGACCAGATGGCTAATCAAGTACAGAGCAACCGGGGTGGGAGTCTGGCGGATAGTTCTCCTCGCCCAGGGCTTCTTTCCAACTCACCCGGTGTACGATGCCACCTATTCCATTGGCTTCTGTAGCTCGGCAGTAGAGGTCCATGTCGCCGTTCTGGCTGCATGTGC